AATAACTGTTTTCTGTTTTAATATATTTTAAAATGTAATTTATTCTTGCTTAAGAAACATTTATAATCAATGTCGAAGACAGTTAACTGTTATTGACTGCTAACTATTTTTTATGGAAATTGATACATTTTTTTTATTTTTTTTTATCAATTGAATGTTCAAAAGAACAGAAAAATGTTACTTTTGTAACATTATAATTGTCTTCATTATCTCTTTAGATGAGTTTAATGCATCCTTTTTAAATAAAAGTATTATTTTCCTTTAAAAAATATCTTACTGACCCCAACATTTTGAATGGTAGTGTACATGTATTCAGTATAAATTGCATTGGTATAACTTGTAGATGAATTTTGAAACCGCTGTGTGTATAAAAAATAAAATAAAATTCTTGCAAGAAAGTTGCTTGATTTTAGGGCATTTTGTTTGTTTTTACAATAAAGAATTGTGGTACTGTATTAAATTGCCACATGATTTGAAATCTGGGTCCTAAAGCAGAACTATTTGGAAAAACGGACTCTTCCCTTGATATATTGACCCATGCCTTTTCTTAAGGACAGTTAACCTAAATGCACTGTATGCAGTGGCAGCAGTTTTGCTTTGTTTGGGCGATATGCAGCATATGGTTCCTTCAGCAGATCATTTATAAAGCGCCCTCCTCTTGTTCGTCTCTGGGAACAGCCTATCTCGTTCTGGTTTCTCAGAAAATCTCCACTTTGCCCACAAATGGCTTACCCCCCCCCCCTCAGCTCTGTTCTTAGTGGCAGGCCTACATTAATATTCATTCTGTTAAGGTGAGAACAGAGACAGGAAGCACCATGAGATCATCTGTTTGACGCTCTGTCTCATGCGTCACGCAGATTAATTAATTCAGCAAAAGATCTGGACGTAATGAGGCACCACTCTTTGCTGTTTGCCAAAGTGCTCTTCTTATCAGAGATCTCCTTGAGGTCAGCGCTTCGTATTAACAACCCTAATGAGAATCTGTTTATGACTCTGTCCCATAGACCATAATATACCAAACATAGTAGGGTAACAACTGATCTCACCTGTTTTTTTATGCTTTCATGATGTGGAGAGAATGACAACAAGGATGGAGAACATAGCTGATGCCACTGTCAGGCCAATTGTAACTGATTCAAATCCCAAACGCCATTAGAGGCGACAAGGCGGTATCTGTCATACTGATAGATGACATGTTAACTGCCTGACGCATGCAGCTGTCGAAAACATATGATAAATAATAGATGGGTGATGGACGGGGGATCATTTTCACCAGATTTCAGTCAGGAAGGCTTTTCATAATTCTTTTATGCAAAAATGTCCTCAAGTGTTTTGTCACCAGGCTGATGTTAATCTTATGTCTTATGAATGTATATGGATGCCATGCCACCATGTTTGTGTGTCTCACTTGATAGATCTTGGGCCTCAAGGCAAATGTCGTCAAAATCCTGTTTATATGAATGTGGTTGAACGCTTTAACTCAATAGGCCATCATGTAACATTATAGGAAAGGAGTGCATTTTTTTTTTTTTTTT